AGGAAATTTAATTTAGAAATAAATATAATTTAAAAAGTCTAAGACTTCAATAATGATACGTATAAAAATTTGACAAGGCATTTGAAAGAGGTAAATCTATGAAAATTTATACCAGATATGTCCATGGAATGGGACACTTAATATTTTAATAATGTTCAAAATGTTTACATTGATCAACAGTTGCAATATAATCCCAAATAAATTCTTCCTCCTTTATTTCCTCCCTCCAATTCTCCCTCTTTCCTCCCTCCCTCCTTTCCTTCCTTCCTTCCTTTACATCTTCCTTCTTTTTAGAGTTTTGGAAGAAGATTGTAACATTTATGCAGACAGGCAAAATGCCAAAAATAGCAAGGATAATATTAAAGAAAGAGGATAACGTTTGCTGGAGTTACATGACCAGATAGCATGTCCATTATAAAGCTATAGCAGTTAAGAAACCTTTCCTGAGGGCAGACAGCCTGATCAGTAGAATAGAACAGTGACTCCAGAATCAAACCCGCACATTTACATGTAACCGCACTTATAATACTGATATCACTGTTCTCCAAAAGACAACAAGTAATGTTTACAGTAAGTGCTATTAGACAATTTGTATATTTATTTGCAGAAAAAAAAGAAAAAGAATCTGGACACTTACCCATACCTTATACAAAATCAATTCTACCTGGATTAAAGATCTAAATGTGAAATACAAACAATAAACATTTTAAAGGAAAACGTAGTGGGGCATCTTTATGATGGAATACGTACAAATTTTTAACAGCATACAAAGCAATAATTATACAAGATTTAAAAAGATTAATTGAACTATTTTAAGAAATTCTGTTTATCAAAAATAATGCTATGTAAAGAGACTCTCAGAGTAGAAGAGGATATTTTTATCAGACCTATATCATCAGACGTATCCATCTACAAGAGGATTCATATGCAGACTGTAAAAATAACTCTTTCAAATTCATAAAAAATTGGCGTGAAACACAATACAAAGATGACAGAAGACATACATGAAAACTTTTCAAAATATCAAAATAGCCATTGAACATACAGAAAGGTTTTCAATTTCATTTAACATTAGGATAGTGCAAACTAAAACCACAATAATACCCATGCACGTTATCCAGAATGGCTAGAAAGGAAATAATAAAAAGATATTGAATCGTGACAGGATACTGAGTAATCATAATTAAGTGCACTACTGATGGGAACACACATGAATATAATCACTCTGGAAATTCATTAGGCATTACTTACTAGTACTGGATATGCATATAATATGACAGCAATTTTCGTAGAAAGCATTTACTCAAATAGGAATACATTCAAGATTAAGCCAGTATAGACAGTATTGGTGTGGACACAAGTGCAGGATGAGGTGGGGTGAGAGATAGAGTAGCTCTTTTTTTTCTGTTATCAGAAAATTTTTGTGTATATCAGGGCAATTTTTTTATAAACTATAAATAATTTCTGTTTTCAGAAAATTTTTGTATATATCAGGGCAATTTTTTTATAAACTATAAATAATCATCTTTAGTAAACACGTGAAAAAATTCAATCTTCATTATTAAATAAAACCCAAAGATGTGAAAAAAAAATTTATGTTCAAAACATAGAATGAAATAGAATGTTAATAATATCACTGATAAAACCTCAAAATTGAGACCCATTCTAATATTGAACATTAGAATAAGGGGTAATTTGCAATGTATTCATAAAATGGAATTGTACACAAAATGAGAACGAGCAATCTAGCACTCTCTACAGTATATTAAGTGAAAGAGCCCAGACACACAAAAAATTGTATAAGATTTCTTTTATATGAAGTAAAAAAAAAGAGGTGAAAATAATTTATGCTGTTAGAAATGAGAATAGTGGTTATTCATTTTGTGTATGTGTGTGTATGTAAGGAACAGTTCATTATAAAAAGGAGAATAAAGGATTCTTTTGGAGTCCTAATAATATTTTATCTATTTTGGTGGTTGTTATTACTGTTTAATTTGAATTCTAATTACACAGATGTGTTTAAGTTTATAAAACTTTATTTATGACATATGCATTTGTCAATATGTATATTATACTTGAAAGATAACATTAAGAGATCCCACAAATAAGGAAAAAAGCTACACATATAT